CAGCTGCAGCTGTCCTTGGTACCATCGGTAGTGATGCCCTCGTGCCCTCACCCTATCTGTCACCTGCTCGTTCTCCTCTGTCTCCCCTTTAATCCACCGCAGGGCCGTGGGATCCTCCCATATGTCCTGTGGCCCCCTCTTTCCTTGCTTTTCTGCTGCTGCCTCCTCCCCTTGCCTAGCGAGCAGCATCAGCGCGTGCACGGGCTCGGCTGCGGGCGGGTTCCTTGAGAGCCCGTCCACGTGCTGCAATGTCTTTCCTGGTCTGTGGCGTATTTTGAAGTCATATTCCTGCAGGGTCACGGCCCACCGCGCGTTTCTCCCTGTCAGCCCTTGGTGGGTCATCAGCCACTGCAACGGCTGATGATCTGTGATCAATGTGAATTCCCTCCCTTGCAGGTACACTCTGAAGTGCTTCACGGCCCACACAGCAGCCAGCCCTTCCCCATGATAAGAGCTGTACTTGGCCTCTGCTGGGTTACAGCTCCTACTCGCGTAAGCCACCACCCTTTCCTCTCCATCCAGCTCTTGGCACAGGATTGCCCCCATGCCTTGGCTGCTCCAGTCAGTGTATAGGCAGAATGGCTTGTCGGCCTTGGGCAGCTGCAGAATCGTTGCTGTCTGTACCGCCTCCATCAAGTCTCGCAATGCCGCTTCTTGCTCTGTCCCCCACTCCCACCTTTTGTCCTCCCTCAGTAGCCCGTTCAGCGGTGCCGCGCGCTTGCTGAAATTGGGGACAAACCTTCGGTAGTAACTCAGAAAACCGAGCACCGCTCGCAGCCCGCTTCTGTCCTTCGGCTGCTGCAGCCTGTTCAGCACCTCCACCTTTGCCCGCTGAATCCCTATCTGTCCGCCCCTCACCTCATACCCCAGGTACTGCACCGTTGCTTCCCCCCACCTGCACTTCTTTGGGTGACAGGTCAGCCCTGCCGCCGCCAACGCCTTCAGCGTCCGCTCCACGTCTCGCACATGCTCCTCCTCACTCCTGCTGAATATCACTACGTCATCTATGTAACATGCTGCACACTCCAGCCCCCGCAACACGCTGTCCATTACTCTCTGAAAGATGGCCGACGCGTTCCTCAGCCCGAATGGCATAAACAGCCATTCGTACAGCCCGTCTGCTCCATGGAATGCCGTTTTCCGCACGTCCTCCTTTCTGATCTTGATCTGGTTGAAGCCCTGTCTCAAATCTAGCGTGCTGAAGATCTCCCCTGCCCCCAGTCGGTCAAAAATATCCTCCGCTGTCGGCATTGGGTACCTATCGGGCACTGTCACTTTGTTCAGTGCTCGGTAGTCCCCACACATCCGTCGACTCAGCACCTCCCCCAGCAGGTCCTTTCGTGCAGCTACCACTGTCGGCGTCGCGTACTCTGATTCTGATCTCTGTATCAACCCTGCTTCTAGCAACTCTTTGCATTTTTCCTTGCAGATGTCTTCATCCCCGGGTGTCATTCTCCGCTTCCTTTGAAACACTGGCTCCTCCGTGACCAGCTTCAGCTCCATCTCCCTCACTGTGCATTTTCCCAGCTCCTGTAGGTTGAATGCAAAGGCATGCCTGTACCTGGCCAGCACCTCCTGCATTGCCTTCTTCCCCTGTTCGCTCATTGCATTCCCCACTACCCACGCTGGCTCTTCCTGTGCTGCCACACACGCCCATGCCCCCACCCTTTTTACTCCCTCCTTCTTGCTCCGCAGCTCCTGCTCCCCTTCCAGCACCAGCCCTCTCCACATTCGGCGCATCAGCCACTGCATCACCTGTCCGTCCATTGCCTGTCCTAATGCCTTCCTCCTTTCCTGTTCTGTCACCCCTGCTGCCTTCGTTATGTCTTCCCCATACCCCATTGCCAGCTCCCGCTCCAGTGCCGTTGGTTCCTCCCACTGCTTTGTCTTATGATCGTACACCATGCCTTCTCCTGGCACTCCTCCTTCCTCCCTGAACCGGGCTGCCCCCTTGTACCCCACCAGTGTCGGCCAAGCCCTGCGTACTGCCCCCACCTTGTTGCATGGGCACTGTGTCTCGTGCCTGCCTTTCCTTACCGGCGCCGCTGTCCTGCCTGGCTCTAATATCTCTTGCACCGTCCTGCTCCAGTCCCTTCGTATCCCATCCAGCTCCCTCTGCAGTTGTTCGTCCGTCACGACATTTTGCCAATACCTTCTGACACGGTGAGCCCGTGCCCCCAGCCTGGCCGCATCACACCTCACGCCCTTTCCCAGCTTCCTTGTCACTAACTCTTGGATTTTCTGACTGGTTCCCGGCAGTCTCCCTCTAGATCTATGTGCTCCAGCAGGTACACCACCTTCTCCTGTCTTTCCTTGATCCAGTCTATGATGCTCAGCAAATTGATGAGCAGTGCTCCCCTTGGATCCTCTAACCCCTTTCCTTTCCCTGCTATCGAGACGGCCTGGCACTCCCACCCTGCTACCAGCAGGTCCACCTGCCCCCAGCCCCTCACCACTTCTCGTGTCACGTTCCTCACGTCGGTCAGCGTCCCTGACATTGCTTTGCTTATCACGGCCTCCTCTAGTAGCTCTGGATGCTCTTTCTGCAGCCTCCTTGCATGTTGTTCAGCCATCTTCCTCACCTGTCCGTCCTTCTCCACGTATATCCACTCCTTCACCGCTACTCCCGCTCTGAGCACCGCTGCCAACCCTGCGCCTATTCCCCCGAACAGCTCCACCAGCCTGATTGGTTCCTGCCACGCATTCGCTACCGCTGCTTCGCCCACTAGGCCCGCCTTCCCTCTCCCTTCGCTATCTGCTTGCTCGGCCGTGTACGCTCGTTTTGGCTCCTGCTTAGTGAATTGCACCGGCAGCTCCCCCGTTTTGCTCCCCCGCACCCAGTACTGCTTCCGAAACTTTACTTTCTCCTTCCATGTACAGATTGTCATCCCCACGCCCCATATCAGGTCTGTCCCCAGCAGCACATCGAAATCTTATGAATCGGATATCCCACATTGCAGCCGAATGCTAGTCTGCTCCTCTTTTCCCGGCATCAGGACTATCTCCACCAGGTCCCTAGTACACGGCAGCCACTTAGGCTCGCCTCCCTCCGCGGTCATTACCTGCATTCCTCGCTTTATGTATTGCCCTGTTTCCGTCAGCCCCAGCTTCCGTGCCAGCTGCTTCCCCAACATCACACTTTGTGCTCCTGTGTCCAAGATTGCTGTTTTTGCTATCTCTCCGCCCACTGCCACTGCCCCTGCTTCTGCCACCAGCACCGTTGCCTGACTAGCTAGCCGATCTTTGGGATGCCTCGCTGGCTCCTCTCCTTCCTCACCCTTCTCCTCTAGCCTCTGTTTCGGTCTGGCCCTTTCCTTGGTTGTGGGGTCCTTCCTCCCATCCCTACCCCCGCTGCGCAGGCCCAGCTCCTCTCTGCTGCGGAGCGCCATGAAATTATACTCCGGCTCTGGTTCCTCTATCACTTCTGCCTCGTCATCCTCCTCCCTGGCATATAACCCCACCTCCTTCTCCTTTTTCCCACCCATTGCCTGCAGCTGCGCCTGTAACCTCCCTATCTGCCCTTCTATGTCCTCTGGAGTCCTCCTCGGCCCCCCTGTGCGTTGATAACAGTCTCTCCCCTTGTGCCCTCGCTTCCCACAAACCTCACATGTTGGTGCATCCGGGCAATCCCTGCGTCGATGCCCCGGCTTCCCGCAGGTGTCGCAGTTCCTGCAATTCCTCATCAGATGTCCTGGCTGCTTGCATCGGTGGCAGGTGCGCGTTTCAGCCCCCTTTTCTGCCCGGCTATCCTCCCTACCCCCTGTCTCTGGTACTACTGCTGCTGCCCAAGCGGGATTCCTCTTCTCAGTCGGCCTCGGTAGGTACACCTCATACTTCCTCTGTGCCAGCTCCACTCTTTCTGCTAGCTCAAACACCTCCTCCGGTGTCGCATCCGCTCCTAGTTCGTAGACCCTCATCCTCAGTCCCCCTGCCAACCCCTTGTCCAGTCCATTCAGGAATTTACTGATGATCATGCTGCTGTCCGTGCAGACCACGTCTTCTGCCAGATTCATCAACCGCCCATAATACGTCAGCAAGGATTCTTCATCCCTCCTCCTGAACTCTTGGAATTCTTTGATGCGTGCTGCTGTGTGCCCTGGGAACTGCCTCCTCAGCCTATCCAGAAACAGCACCGTCGGGTCCTCTTCATCCTCATCTGCCCTTCTCAGCCACTCCCCCATCTTCATGCGATATAGGGTTTCTGCTTCCCCCCCCAGTGTATTTGGCAGGCTGAGAAAGAAATCTATGGGATCCATGCCGCTTCGATCACACCGGTACTTGACGTTGCTTATCTGCATCAGGTAATTCTTGAGGCTTGGTCCCGTGCTCTCGTTCCCCGTGAAGCGCACCGGCACCTCCACCCGTGGTGCTGCCGTTGCGTTCCATCTCCCTAAATCCCAATTTCCCGAGCCTCCCCGCTCTGACAGAGCAGCCCCTCGCAGCTTTCCCTTTTCTCCTCTGCTTCCTGCACTTGTCCCGTACAGTGCTCGCTCCAGTCCCTCACGAGCCGCTCTGGCCCCACTTGATCCCTCCTCGTATTGCCGCACCCTCCCTGTGCCGATTGGACTCGAACCTCTCTTCTGGTCGTCTTCACGGTGGCTCCTGTACCTTTCCAGATCCTCCCATCTTCCCACTTTCTGCACAGGTGAGCGCTCCTGGCGATGTCGCTCTTGTTCCCTTCGCTGCTGACTTCCTCCTTCTGCTCTGGAGCCGTACGGTGATCGCCTTTCCCCGCCTCTTTCTCGTCCTTCTTGGTGGCGTACCCGCTCCTTCCCAGGCGGGCTCTGATGGCGTCGCACCTCGTAGTCCATCCTGTCTTCCCGCTTTTCCCGATCTGCTTGCCGACCTCCGCCCATCGCCATGCGCCGCCCGCGATCATACCCTGGCCTTGGCTCAGGTGAGCGGAAGACTCCTGCTGACGCCCTCCTTTCTTCTTCCTCTTCTCGCCGCGCCCCCGTTTGGCGCTCCATTTCCCTGACGCTCCTTCGCTCCATTTCTTCATGCCTTCTCGCAGGTGAGTGCTTCCCATCTCTGTCTTCTTCGTCATCCTCTCGCTCCTTGCCGCGTCGGACTCGCTCCCTTTCATCCCTTCTCTTGTACCCTTGTTCTCCTCCTTCCCGTGCAACAGGGAAATCCTGCCCGACGTTGGTGATGTCACGCCTTCCGTCGCCCCGCGTGGGGGACTCTCCGTCATCAGCGATATCACACTCTCCGCCGCCCCGCGTCATGGGATACTCTTCCTTGTCAGCTGCGGCGCGCCTTCCGCCGCCCCGTGCCGTGGGGGATCCTTCGTCGTCAGTCACGCCGCGCTTTTCGCCGCCCCGCGCAGTGGGGGATTCTTCACTGCCAGCCGCCTCACGCCTCCCGCCGCCCCGCGCAGTGGGGAATTCTTCCTCGTCAGTCGCGCCATGCCTTCCGCCGCCCCGCGCAGTGGGGGATTCTTCGTTGTTGCTGATGTCACGTCCTCCACCGCCTTGAGCAGGCTGGGGTTCTTCCCCTCCATACTCGTCGCCCTGCTCGCTGGCGACATCCATCTCCATATCGCATCGTGGCGCTCTTGATCCACCCCGCGCTGGCCTTCCGCCAGATTCCACGGATTGCTGGTCGCGGGCCGCCTCGAAGGCTCCGATCTGATGCGCAGATCCTCCCCGCTTCCTTCCTGTCGCACGCCCGTTGGCGTCACCGGATCCGCGCGATACGCTGCCCGTCGTGGCGAGCGCGTCGGCGACCTCCCACGCTCCCTGGAGCGCCTCATTCGCAAGTACGTACGCTGCATGCGTAGATCATGGCGATCCATGTCGCCGGTCAATTTCTCTTGTTTGTGAGAGATTCAGGCTCCCACTGCTGGCTACCAAGAGTGGCGTTAGTCACCTTGCTGCAGTAGCTTAGAACGGTAACGTAAGTCCACTATGCTCTGGTAAACAAACGAGAGAACAGGAGTCCTTTGCTAGGGTAGGCTAATTTATGCTAGGCCACCCAGTCGCGAGTTGCTCAGCGTGATGGGTTGGGCTCGAGCCGCCTTGGCCTTGGATTGGCCTTGTGCCAGATTTCCTGTCTCCCGAGGGCCCTGGAATTGTGCCCGCAGCGCCTTGCAATTCCCAATAGTATCAACTTCGCGTTCCTCCCAATGCCCCACCTACCCTGTGTTCAAACTGAATAACAACTACTACACTACTTCTACACCCCAGTTAGCACAGTTACAGAATATGATGCACTTACCATGATATTCAGTGACATGTTACCATCGCAACACCTCCGATTCCTGGGCGTGGAACTGGAGACTGACACCGGCCGATTCTCCATCGGTCCCGATCGACGAGCCTCACTACATGCAACCATAAGGGACCTCCTGAGCGCAAGTAAGACATGCCGACCCGTTCCGGTCCGTCACGTAGCCAGAATCACAGGCATGCTCGCATCAATGGGTGTGGCACTTGGTGCTACTGTGCGCGCTTTCAGCCATGCCATGTTACAAGTGATCAACGACGCACCGTCATGGAAAAGCAGCGTGATCATCCCCCCATCTGCAGCAGAGGAGCTCCAATTTTGGCTTGAGGAGTTCGACCGTTTCAACGGTGCACCTTTTCACGTCAGGAATAGCTATGACGCGGTCATCCATGTGGATGCGAGATCTCACGGCTGGGGCGCCACTCTGACAACGTTCCCGGGTGGCATCGAAGAAGCTAGCTCAACCATGTCCGAGCTGTTACGTGCAACGTCAAGCACGCGACGGGAGATCGAAGGTGTCCTTTGGGCGCTCCAAACGTACGCGACCAAGATCAAGCAAAAGCACGTTCTCGTGCGAGTGGACAACCAGGGCGTATTCTTCATCCTTCGCAAAGGCGGCTCTCACAGCCCCGACCTCACAACGGCATGCAAGAGCATCATTCGTACATGCATGGAGCTCGGCACGCGCTTGATCATCGAATGGATTCCGCGAGAGCTCAACTCGCACGCTGACGAGCTTTCCAAAATGGTCGACCACGATGACTACGCGCTGAAGACGCCATGGTTTCTCATCTTAGATCGTCGTTGGGGCCCCCACTCCATCGACCTCTTCGCGAACTCCCGCAACACTCAACTACCGCGCTTCTGCACAAAGATTCCCCACCCAGAAGCCATCGCTATTGATGCGTTTTTGATCGCATGGACACTCGAAAACAACTTCGCCTCCCCACCGCCCCAACTAGTCCCAGCCGTCCTCCACCACGCACAACGCACCCACACATCACTTACACTGATAGTCTCGCACTGGCCAGGCGCAAGCTGGTGGCCACTCTTGCAACCCTCCCCACGCACTTGGGCTCCGCACGTCCACGCGCACATTCCTCTAACACACGGAATCCAATGCCTAGATATAGGGTCCCATCACACTGCCTTTTCGGGCACGGGACTACCGCACAGCCCAATCATTGCACTGCGAGTTGTATTCGACTAATTCATAATATATATGCTCTGTGTACAGATCCTCCCAAAGTTACATGACCAACTGATTAACATGCTCGCGCAGTCCCGCGCCGATTCTACGATCCGGACATACGAACCCTACTGGGTCAAGTTTCGAGCCTTCTGCACAAAAGTGAACCTCCCGTTCCTTCCAGCATCTGATATGACTCTCGCGCTATACCTGGTACACGCAATCCGACGCAACGCCACACTGTCCGTTGTGCAGCTGACGTGCTCGGCGGTGAGTTTCGCCCATCGCATGACTGGAAGCAAATGCCCAACGATCGGACCGTTTACTACCCAAGTCCGTAACTGTGCGAAACGACACTGCCCTCGCCCTACTCGTCTGAAGGAACCAGTATCACTGCAGCAAGTTCGGGATATGGCCAAGAGTTACCTGCAGTCCGACGATCCTGCAGAATTCCGGAAAGGGTTGATCCCCATCCTCATGTACTCAGGATTCTTGCGATACTCGGACCTAGTAGCCATAAAATGGCAAGACATCCAATTCGACGAAGATGCCATGTGGATCCTGATACCACACTCCAAGTCTGACCAGGCCGGCCATGAATACCAGACCAGGCCCGGCACAACACACAGAGGCACTCGTACGCAATCGACGGCCCCCGCTGCCCATGTCTCAGAGACCCCAGTTGAAATGAGAACGATGCCAATTGATAAGAAAGAAAGCAAGCTTTCTCAATATTATAATTTTTAAACACACATTGTGTTTTTCAAACTTGTATATTGTGAAAGCGAAGCTGCTTGTACTGCACAATTGGCATCGTCGAAGCACAATAAACGCCCTTCTCCAACTACAAAAACCGTGGGTTGGAGCTCATTTCCCTCCACCCACGTTTCTCTATTTCAAACGGCTCACTCAACATTCCCACCACCCACCCCAGCGTAAATCGCTCTGCTAATGCCACTTGGATAGGGTATATCCTAGCTAGTGATATTTGCATGCACTGACTTGTATTCAATCTTGATGCAAATGTTGTAATATGCCAGTTGTAATGAGAACGATGCCAATTGATAAGAAAGAAAGCAAGCTTTCTCAATACATGAATTGAATGAAAACAGCGTGTTCTTAACCATAAAGGGACCCACAAAAATTCATAGTGAATAAACCGTATGGCACACAAAGTCCTCTTGCTTACCACATCCTGGTCAAAACGGCAAAAGGACAGGTTGCAAATGATTACCAGCTTTGTGATAACCTACGCAACTTTGTGCGGATTAGACACTCTGTCATGTAACCCTCTCCGCCGCCTACCACCCTCCCCTTGGCCGTCGACATGCGGGGCCAAGTGATGATGCTTGGGTAGTTTTTAACGTGCCCACTTGGAATGTTGTCACTGTTGGCTACTATTAGCCCTTAAACCACTATATGCGCACCACTTAAATCACACTATGTGATCTCCACCGGGCCTCGTCCTCGGCTCCACGGTTCTCCAAGTGTGAACGCACTAGAGTAGTCACAAACTTAATGCGCAGCGTCTTGTTGCTCACAAATCTCGTCTCCAAATACTCTTCACGAAAACGCACATAACTCATGATTTGTCGAGGCGAATCACGAACCGTAAACGCCAAAAAGTAAAGTACAGAAATGCGCATCTCACAGAACTCAAATTACCTTCACTCCAGGATTTACCATCAGTCATGTATGGTTGTTACGAACCACTCCAACAATCTCCCTCGTGGTTCGGCAACCACACAATCCACCATACTCTGCTTCTTGATAGCTAACTCGGCTTTGTACTCCCCCGCAGCTCCTGTCGTTTGCGCCGCTATTTCTTGAAGTTAAATCGCCTTGGCATCCAAACCTTGAATGGTTTTCTTTAGCCTTACGCTCCTCCTCGGCTTCTCAACACTGAAGACTTCCTTAACTTCATGATCGTCCACAGATGCCTCCTCCTTCAGCCCTTGCACGTTTGCAGTTGCATTCCCCTTCATTTCCTTCACCTCAAGCCCTTCCTTTGCAACCTCAGCTCCCTCAAAATTTTCAGCTTCGTCTACGAGCACGATCACCGCTGTACCGGTGTTGCAATTCATCTCCACATGTCAGAATGAATGGACAAGAATGATGAACTAACAGGGATTGTGAGTACAAATATGAAACCCTAATGTTGTGACCCCCCTATAGGCTAACCCACTACAGCCTACACAAATACAACATGTATAATGTTTGACACACCCCCATAGGCAAAGTGGGGGAGACCTAGGGGTCACAAGACCAGTCAAGGCAAAGCAAGGCAACAACAAGCTCAGGGTGGATCTCAAGGATTCCACACAAATTCCGAGCACAAGCTAGTGGTCACAAGACCAGTTCACATGCAGGTTTATAACAGAGCAAGAGATACAGTGATCACAACCTAGCAAGAGTAAACATGCAGGTATAGATATATATAGTGATCACAGTACAAGCAAAGTCAAGAGGTAAGTAAGTGAGGTCCAGTAGGCACAAGGCCTAGTAGAGTGCAGAAGCGCTGATGGTCACGAGGCTGAAGCGCCTTGGTGAACACATCAGCAGTGTTGGCCTCAGTGGCCACGTAGCGAATACAAAGCTGACCGCGCTGCTGCAGCTCACGAGCAAGGAAGTACCGCAGGGCGATGTGCTTCGTTCTGTGCTCCAGTCTGTGCTCCTCACACAAGGCAATGGCAGCCTTGTTGTCGACGTACAGTACTGGAGGAGAACGAGGCCGCTCTCCGAGGTCGGTCAGCAAGTAGGTCAGCCAGCGTAGCTCCTGGGCAGCCATGGCTGTAGCGTAGATCTCAGCCTCGCAACTGGAGCCGAGAACAGAAGAAGAGCGTGTAGAGCGCCAAGAAGCGTCTGAGACGACCGCTGAGACGACCCTGAGACGACCGCTGAGTGGCCTGGTCGTCTGCCCAAGAAGCGTCTGAGTGCCCTGTGAGAACAACTCGGTCTCGCCCTCCAAGCACAAGCCCCATGCCCGACGTACTGCACAAGTAGCGCAACACCCTCTTAGCGGCATCCATGTGCTCCTTCCTGTGACGGCCAGGAGCGACATAGCGTGCAAGGATGCTAAGAGGGTATGCAAGGTCAGGTCGAGTGCAGGTCATCAGGTACATGAGGCAGCCCACAAGCTCTGGA